AAAAGTCAAACTACACCTTAACCCCCCCCCCCCCCTCTCTCATTTAGTAATCTGATTTAATAAGATAAGAATATAAAGCAACAGAAAAAATTCAAATCACAAGTCAAACTGCACCTTAACCCCCCTCTCTCATTTAGTAATCTAATTTAATAAGATAAGAATATAAAGCAACAGAAAAATATCAAATCAAAAGTCAAACTACACCTTAACCCCCCCCCCCCCTCTCATTTAGTAATCTGATTTAATAAGATAAGAATATAAAGCAACAGAAAAAATTCAAATCACAAGTCAAACTGCACCTTAACCCCCCTCTCTCATTTAGTAATCTAATTTAATAAGATAAGAATATAAAGCAACAGAAAAATATCAAATCAAAAGTCAAACTGCACCTCATATTGTTGGTGCATACACTGTATTTGTTTAAACCATAACACCTTGGGCCACAATTCAAAGTTTAAAAAAAACCAGGGTCACATGTAGAAGCGACTTGCCACCTTCTCTCAAAAACCCAGTGGGGAGTATTTGTCCATTTTGAACAGTTCTAATTTTGACCAAGTTTTTTTTTCAAGGTTAGTATAACAATTATGTCCTTTACAGGTTGTCATGACGATAGTATTAGCCTTTGTATTTTCTTGGAGTTGTTTTTGTCCGGATTCAGTACAGGAGGAAACTCAAACTGGAGGACATAGATGGTAAGCTAGCAAACAATGCTAGAATTACATAGTGATTTAAAAGCTAGGATACATAGTGATTTCATAGCTAGGATACACATTGATTTCATAGCTAGAATACACATTGATTTCATAAGCTAGGATACACAGTGATTTCATAGATAGGATACACACTGATTTCATAGCTAGGATACACATTGATTTCATAGCTAGGATACACATTGATTTCATAGCTAGAATACACAGTGATTTCATAAGCTAGGATACACAGTGATTTCATAGATAGGATACACACTGATTTCATAGCTACATTGTAGGATACACACTGATTTCATATCTTTAATTATTATTTTTAAGTGATTGCTTTACAGGGCTCGCATGAACTTCATATGAAATTTCGCATGATTATCATGTAAATTCTTTGCTTGAGAAGGAGATGCAAAGGACCATGTATGATATACACACAAAAATAACATGTGATCTTCACAAAAAAAATTCACGCCAATATGTTCATGGAAAAAGGAAAACGCCTCAAAATCAATGAAGTTATTTTTCCCAGTGTTTATTAAAAAAGAGACATTTGAATACCTGTAAAATTGTGATATTTTTTTCAGATCATGCCAAGCAGACAGAACACGTGTACATCAGTGATGAAGAAAAGATGATGTGTGAGAACCCGGACTACAAATGGACCGTTCGATACATAGCTCTACAGAGAGATTCAACTGAACTACAGGTATGTCATTGTTATAAGTGGACAGGTCGATATACAGCTCTACAGAGAGATTCCACAGAACTCCAGGTGAGCTTAAATATGTTTCGTTGGCTGTAAGTTTACCTTTCTGATTTTCTGATAACACAATTACATGCATTCAGATTTAGTAGAGAAACAGCTTTTAAAAGTTGTGATACAATTTTTATAATGTTAATTTAATTTTTTCTGCAAAAAAAAATAGTAGCTGTAGTTCATGAAAAACGATTTTTAAAGGACTAAGTCTTAAAAAAAATTACAGAACATAGTATATAGAAGTTTTATTCTGATTTTGATTTTCCAGACCCCTTACATGTACAAGGGAGAAAGACACAGGAACAAAGAAGATTTCAGTCTCAGGATGTATGGGGATGAAGTCAAGGTCAGTTTGATTAAATTCATTTAACAAAAGTGTTTCTTGAGAAATACCTCTCAAAAATACCCCCCCACCCCCCACCCCCCCAAGTTCCTAAAAATGCCTTATTCATAAACATGTTATATTTACATCCATATATATTTTTTCATTTATTTCTTATGAAGACCATTGCCAGTAATCAGTGCATGAACATAACTTAGCAATCCATGAGTGTAGTTTTCTTGAACAATGGCTGATTCATCAGTTCTATATACAATGACATATTCATCTTAAAAACAATGATTAATAAATTTAATTTACTTTGAATGATTTTTTATAAAAATGTAAATATAAATATTAAATATAAACTAAAAAATGCTTTCTTTTGTTTGTTATTACGTGAATTAACGTCGCACAACTTACATAACCTGCGTAATTTTTTCTGCAATATCTGCGACATTAATTCCCATAATAACAACCAAAGAAAGCATTTTATTATTTAAATAAATAATTTGAATGTTTTTAAGAAATGAATGTAATATTTTTTCCTTTGATCGAAGTATCAAAGAAAAAATTTGGACGGAAAACTTCATCAATGCTCATAGTGCATTGATGTAAAAGTTTTCTGTCCAAATTTTTTCTTTGATACTTGAAATAAAGGAAAAAATATTGCATTAATTTCTTATCATTTAATTATGATTTTAAATTTAAACTAGAGGTACTGTGAGCAATGAGCTCACTAAATGATACCCCCCGCCTCCCATATGGTTATAACTGGTGAAAAAGTCCATGTTTTCCTGTGGCCGGGAAACCCAAAATATGTGTCGGATCAAAAAGTAAAATAGGAGGTGCACACTGGCAATATGTAATAAAGATTCTGTGAAAGTTTCATCAAATTTCATTCAGTGGTATGAGAGGAGTTGCGGATAAGAGATAGGTACCCCAAAGCGTAACAGACGGACGGACGTACAGACGACGGACGGATGGACGGACGGAATTAACGATTACTATATACCCTCCCACTTTTCAAGCGGGGGGTATAAAAATGAAACTTTCTTTCACTTTTTCTTTGAAATTTATGCATCAAAAATCGTGCGCACGAATTCATCACAACAACGTTCACGTTGCTGAAATTCAAAATGGCTCTAACGAAGAAACGTTCTCTATCATTGTCATGTCATTACCAACATTTTCTGAAATAATTTACATTTCTTTAACACAGACATATGAATCAATATTTTTAGGTGCCTTGAAAAACCAGCACAAACAATTAGACAAGAACTGTTCTGATGAGGAGCAACAAAGTGGAGACGAAGAAGACCAAAGTAATGAACTTCTATCTGACTCCCAGAACACACAGTTTGATGAGGATATTCAGATGTCTGAGTACGACCACAATGACGATCGGAATGCGAATGAATCAAGTGATTCTGAACAGGAGGATCTATTGAACAGCACATCAGAAAATCAAAGAGTCAAAACAGTCAACAAGAAAGGAGATAATCGTGCAGTAATCGATTCTGAAAATTGCGAAAGTGATCCTGACAGTGATTTCATAGACGATGAGAATATTAGAGGAGCAAAGGTTGGTAGTAAAACACCCCATACTTGTAAAGTGATAATAGAAAGAAATTCTTCACTTAGGGAAAACAGTACTAGGAAAGGAAAGCTAGAGTCTCCCAAAGTACAAAAGACCCCAAACACAAAGAACAATCTCACAAAAAGCAGAGCAGCTGAAATGCCAGAATTATCTACTCCAAAGATTAACTCGGGAGGAAGTACGAAAAAAATGGGTCGACAGCAGAATGTGAAAGACACTGGAACCACACAAAAAGTGGAGAATGAAAAAGGCAAAGAGAACAAGAATAGAGGCAAGGTGAGGGGTAAAAGTGGTATCACAGAAAAGGAGGTGGAAGAGGGGCAGAGAGATGACATTTCTGTTGAGAGCATTGATGAAGATTATGACCAGAATTTAATAGAATCGAGTGACTCTGAGCTTGAGGATCCATTTAGTAGTGTGGCTTCAAATAAGAGCATCAGTGAGCAAAAGTCACCGAAAAAGAATGTAAAGAGCAATCCCCTATATAATTCAACAGCCAGGAGGGGTAATGACAGTGAAGAATCAGATATATCAGAAGATGAAAAGGAGGTTGTGGGGAAAGGTGGAAGGAAATCTATAAGAAAGAGTAAAGCAACAGTTGGGGAAAAGAATACAGACAGTGAAAGCAGTGTAAAGAAAGGGAGACTTGATACCACCAAACCCAACAAGACTCCAGTCCCAAGAAACAGCTCCAGAGTATTAAATAAAACAACAGAACCACCTGCATCTTCCACACCAAAGAGAAGTGGACGAGGAACTTCCTTAAAATTGCCTGTGCAGCAGAAGATCATCACACAAGCGGAGCTACATGTCACAACTTCACCTTCGTCAGGGGAGGAGAACACAGATGATGAGGCTACCAGTAACGGTGTATACCACAGTTCTGATGACGAGCCAACCCCTGACCCAGCAGTGGGGGGTAGTATCAGTTTATCTCCACAGAGAGCCACAAATGATCCAGAAAGGTCCAATCCTGCTGAAGAGTTCAGCTCCGAATCAGAATGGGAAGAAAATGCCACCTTTCCAGGTATAAACATATCAGAATATAAGAGGTTTTTTAGCTAAGGACAAAGTTGGCTATTTATGCAAATTATGCCAAAATTGAATGATTGCTTAGAATTCCCATTATACAATATATCATGTAAAATGTAATTTCTGCACTATAAATGGAAGATATTGAAAAAAAAAACCTGCAAAATCTGAAAATTTTAATGTATTAAAGGCATGGAAGAACAAAAATGACACCTTCTGCCATATTCATTGTCGGAACCCCAAGTTTTCTCACCGTTATAATCAATTGTAGTGTACCATATAGAAAATCTGTGGGGACTCTGATGATGTCATTGTCTTCAGTTCATATCTTGATAACATTGAAGTCTATATAATGTATTGCAGGAATATTAAAAAAAAATTTCAAATAGTGGTATGCAGTAGCCAGTATACTTGTTGAATATGATGAAAGAGAGAAGCTATTTTGCATGCCACGGGAATGAAATTCAAGAAAATTTACTTTCAGATTGTGCCATAGTGATAAGCAGCATAAAGAAAGACTGGCTGCTAAAGAGAGATATGATACCCGAGAAAGCCAAGGAGTTGTTTGATGTGCAATATGCCAAATCTTGGTCTCAATCGCCAAGTTTTTCTAATCAGCTGAGCGATGATCATCTTCCTCATATCATGAAAATTGTTGCAGACATGGTCAGGTGTGTACTAGAATTCAATTGAAAGTTCTTTCTCCTTTGATGAAATTTCATTGTGATAAAATTCATTTAGTGTGATTAGAGGCAATTTGAGATACGAAATTGTTTTCTCTGATTGAAGTGCATACAACAATCAGATTTTTTTTTGCTTGACATAAATGTTTTTATTTTATGAAATTCATGGAATCTGCATGAGATGGGTGATGAAGAAAATTATTTCATGTGTATTTTTCTTCAAATCATTTTTGCCCCATTCTACAATAAATTCTCAAGGTCTGAGGCCAGTATTATCTGTTGGAAGCCAGTTAATTCAAAAATCAATTAAGTCCCTTTATTTCTCAAAAATGCCATCTTGAACGAATAAAACTTATTTTTTTTACCTTCGCAATAAAAAAGGATATAAACTGCACTCAATGGGCCAGGCATAAAATTTAAGAAAGTTCTTTTGTTTGGATGTGTATAGTCACACGAAATACTGATTCATATTTATTTATTTTTAATTTTCTGAAGCTATGCCCCTTTTAACATAGAGTATTGACCAGAAAATAAATATACCACTGAAACAAATTGTGAACACAACTTTTCTTAAACTTTTGTAACTGTAGTTAATATGTTCATACTGTGTAGCTGCGCATATCCGAGCCATGTGGTATTTTGGAGTTTGTGACCTTGCACACTTTTTTTGTCATTGTAAATAGTTAAAACAGTCAAATTGTTTTTTTGCCCTGCCATGAATATGGCCAGGGCATATATTATTTCATGGGTCTTTTTCTGTCACAAAATTGCATGGATGATGCATCTAAGGATCTTCAATAAACTTGCTTCGGATGCTGGATCTTGTGTCCCAAGTACAAGTATAATTTTGAACCAAACTGATCAAATTTTATAAACATACAAATTTTCATTTGCTTTTAATTTTCGGCGGGGCATTCATATTTAATTATTTGTAAGTTATCAAACCCCTTTTGTCAGAGAAAAAATCAGAGAGTTCATGCTATACAAGATGTCATTGGTATTGAAAATACTTTATGAATAAGTGTTTGGAACTTCCAAATTAGATCACTGTATTCAAAGATGTCTGTGTTCAAAATACCAGAGTTCAACTATATATTGATTTTCCAGGCATTTATGAACAGGACTTGTGGGCTGATATTACATGTACAAGTTGAAAAAAAATTGGTTTAAAAAAATGTACATGTATAAAGTAAAACAAAATATAGCTTTGTTATATGTTATTTGTTAATTTTCATATTATTTTACTGTAATAATATTTGCTATGATTTCATTTTGTAGGAACAAAAAGTTCAAAAAACTTGGCCAGTTGTTGACAGACTGCAACTATCAGGTTAGCCAGATGGAATCCATCAATCACCTGTTAAGTCTTGATGATGACGCTATAAATAATATCAGAAAATCTCTGCTTGATGGTATAGAGAACCAGGAGGTCAACGGAGAAGTTGTGCTCATAATGGACACCAAATTAAACACGCTATTTCTAAAGCTGAATAACACTGTGGACAGACTTAGTAAAATTAGGAATCAACTCTTCCCAAATATGAAGGAATTGTCAGGTTGTCTATATGAGTGGAAAGTAAGCACTGTGTCAGCCATTACTCCCAACCCTTCAGATGTTGACTTTGAGTGGAAGGGAATCAATGCTTGGCTGAACAAGGAATGCTGGGATAGCTGTGAACGGTGCATTTATCCTGCGCAAGACATTTTTCTTGCAGCTGTGGAAAATAAGAGCATTGAAAAGTTAATTGAATGTCACTTTTCAAAGGAGGTAAAGAATACTCAAAGGAAGTTGTTCTTTGTGAGGGCCATGGATGATATGGTTAACTTGGACATGTTCCTTCAGAGACTGATTGGTTCTTGTGCTAATCACAGGAATGCCCTCATTATAAGTCACGCAAAGCCACCCGTTACCTTAAAGTCTCTTTTGCCATCCAGTTTGAGAAAAGGAATAGAAGTGAAAGTAATGAGTGCCTTTAAGCCTTCCAATAAACAGGGTATATCTGTGGTTGTGATCAGTGTAAGCAATCCTAATTGGCAGCAGCAGCAGAGAAGTTCAGGTATGTATCAATTAAATAAATCATATATATAGAAAGGTATTCTGATTTGAATAATAAATAGTTATAAAAAAAGAAAATTACTAACGGTTATAATTCTTTGTATGATATGGATCTGACAAGTGTGTGAGTCTTTATATTAGATTCGCATGTATGTCAAGAATATGTCAATATATATGGAAATAAAGCATCTTGAATAATGTTTTCAGGTACAGTTCCTGCCACAGCAAGTGATGATGAAATAACACCTTGTCCAGAAGATAATGTACCCAGGGATAGAAAACGCAAAAGTCTTCCTGTTAAAACCGGTGATTCTTATTCGAAACGCAAACGAAAATCTTAACCATTTCGGACAAGCAGAATTTCTAACAGCAGATGTGCATGGTTAAGCTATATACACTGTACTACATACAAAGTTAAGGTTTTTGCTGTGTTTAGTAGTGTCAAAGAGTAAATTTTCACTGCCAGTTCCTTTTAAGTTATGAACTTTTCAGATCACATCCATCTATTAACTGATCACATCCATTTATAAGCTTTTTACACTTTAGTTTCTTCTAAAGAACCACTGGTACAATTTTGACCAAAGTTGATAGGAACTATCACTGAGTGAATATAGAGATAATCAACATGATCAAGGAAAAGAAAAAAAATATGGTGGGGTCTTTAAACTTGTCAATAACCATGATAACCAGTGGGTCAGAAAAGATGCATATGTAGAAGCTTCCTGAAGTAGTATAGAATTAAAAAAAGTTTCAAGTCATGTTCCCTGAGCAGTAGGGCTTCAGTGACTCAGGTGAGCTCTTTGGCCCACAGGCCTCTTTTTATAACCTTTCATATGAATTGTTTATCAAATTATCATACAAGTATACTTGTGTATATTTCACAACATTTATAAAAATAGCAGCATTTACGTCTAATGATACCATTTTTTTATGTAGGTCAATATATATTTAGTTTAAATGGTTGTTTTCTTTTATATCTGTTTTGACATCGTTTTGAAAGAAATTTTCTACTTTCTTAGCACCTCCGTAAATTGATCTGATTATAATAACCTTTGGTTGCTTTGAAAATCTGTGAAAAAAACTTGTTACTTATACTTGGTACTCTTTTGTTCAAGGGCATTTATTATATGCAGATGTATTTGGTTCAGGCAGTGTTAGTATGTCAAATGACAAGTTTAAAGAAATTGTTATTCTAAAATGGAAATGGAATTTATTAGCATGCTGAAATACTAGAAATTTGTACATGTGAATTGTAATTATTATCTCTTCCTTATAGAAATGAAACAAGATATGTTACTTTGATAGCAGATTTTTTATATTTTTGTATTGCATTGATTCCTGTTTAATTAGGGCCCCGCAAGGATTTGCGGGTGCCCTATAGTAATCACTCTGTCTGTCTGTCTGTCCGTCTGTCTGTCCGTCTGTCATTCTTCCGTCCACAAATTTTCTGTTTTTTCCTAATACCTTTTTTTATGGTAGCCCAATTAAGTTCAAATTTGGTATGGTAGTTCAGTAGGCAAAAAGACATATTTTGATGCTAAGTTTGTTTCTCTATGTCCTCTGGTTTGGAGCTGGGGTGGTGGGGTAGATTCCTTAACTTTATATAAGAATGAATTGGGAAAGAGAGATAACTTCTGAAAATGTTGTAAACTGAATACTGCAATGAATGAGCCCCTTGGGATTAATTAGCTTTCCTCCTGAAGAAAATCCAAAGCATTATCTTTATCTGTCACATTGAGATTAATTACCACCTCTGTCTGCAAATGAAGTTTGTTTTGAAGTTAAGTCCATTTGGAATGCTATGAACACTATGAAATGTGGATTGAAGTATAAATGTTTTTACTTTATTTTTGTTGAAATAGCCTACACGATGAGTTTTAATTTCATTGACTTTGAAAAAGAAGAAATAGATTAAAGAAGATATATTTTTTATTTTTATTTGTTTATTTATTTTTTTTTTCTTCATGAAAATTCAAGAATATTATTAATTTTTAAGGCAGTTGGATAAAAACCTCATCATTCTATCATTGCTGAAAAAGTTCTTATTATAAATTAAGAAGAAAATGATGAGAGAGAAGTACAATTAATCCCTTGGGATTAATTATCTAGCCTGCTGCAGGAAATTTAGAAGGCTTATCTTTATCTGTCACTTTAAGATTAATGAAAACCTTTGTCTTCAACTGCTGTTTGTTTTGAAGTTAAGGTCAAGCCTTCATGATATGTATTTGCATTCATTGAAGGCTGGCATTTTATATAACAAAAGCTTCACTATTATTTAGATTTACATTCAGTGTTGAGTTGTTCTTTACTGCTTTATATAAAATAGATACAAAGATATTATTTACAGGTTTTTGGACATTCGGGAAATTTTGAATACAGTTGCTATTTCTTATTCGTCATGTATTTCTTAAATCATTCCATAAGCTGCACCCTTATAATTCTACAATTTATGGTTAGCAGAGATGGTTGTTTATTTATGTTTATTTATTGTTGTTTATTTATTGTTGACAGAGTTGGTTGTTTATCGTAGTTAATTTATTGTTGACAGAGTTGTGTATAATTATCATTGTTTATTAATCGTTGACAAAGTTGTTTATTTATTGTTGAAAGAGATGGTTGTTTATTGTTGTTTATTTATTTTTGTCAGAGTTAATTATTTATTGTTGTTTATTTATCGTTTTTTATTTATTTGTTTGTTTATTGTTATTTTTTTTTCTTTTTTTAAAATTTTTTTTTATTTATTGTTTATTTATCATTGACAGAGTTGTTTATCGTTGATTATTAATGTTTGACAGAGTTGTTTATTGTTGTTTTTTAATCGTTGACAGAGCTGGTTGGAGGAGGAACAGGAGAGCCGGGAACAGACCATTCACACGATGACAGAACTCCGGAGACGGAGTCGACCTAACGCTGACCTCGAGGACCTGGACGAGGACGTCATTCCCAGCTCCTCCTTCTCCATCCCTGTAGCTGACAACGTCCAAGAGGCGGGGCTACAAACCTAAAGGGATGGGACCACAAACCAAAAGGGGTGGAGCCACAAACCTAAAAGGGTTGGGGCCAATACCATAATGGGGCGGAGCCACAACTTTAGATGATTTTTAGGAGTGAAATACTTTCAATGACATTGATATGGGCCACATCACATGGTGGTCTCTGATATGCTTTGTATATTTCATGGTATTTTATTGAACTTAAACCAAAGGCAAAGGTGCTCTACTGTCCCAGGATGGGGACAGTTTTAATCATCTTTTTTTTCTGTGATCAAGTTCAAATTGTGCCAAAAAGTCTTTAACATTTCATTTAACGCTGCCTCCTTATGTTTCATATTCAGGAGGTATTTTAGTGTGAGTGTGTAAATATTGAATGCTTTGTATTGATCAAGAGAGAGAAGTTTTCTCATATTGAGAGGAATAAGTTGTGTCTGAGAAAAGAAAAATCCATGCCTCGTGTAATTACAGTAGTAAATCCTATTTTAAGCCTGTGTTTTTGAGCAATCTATGAACGGAAATTATAAAATGGTCACATTTGATACAATTAGGGGACTACCATTTGATTCTGAAGGGGGGGGGGGGGCAGATGTTGGAAATAATTCTTCTGTCCTCCAAAAAGTTGAAAATAAATAATCTGTCCTCAACTGGAGTGGAAATAAATAATCTGTCCCTGTGTTCGATGTGTTCACTTTTTTGCTGGTCATACTCTTTTAGTGAAGAACAAAATAAAAAAATCTGTCCTTGATCCTTCACCGACATGAAAATAAATAATGTAAATAATGTGACTTTAAAACAATTCCCTCCTCACCCCTCCCTCACCCCCATCAGAATGAAGAAGGTCATCCCTATAGGTAGTCAATACAAGCAGAGAATCAGATTCTTGCATTTTTTTAAAATTCATTATATACTGTATATTAAATAGATACTGCTTAAAATACTTGATGAAATACTTCATTGATTAGTTTGATTTTGTGAAACCCTCTAGGGAAAATTTTGCAGTTGCATATATCAGAAGTTTGTTATATACAGGTAGTAAGTAAGACTTGATTGACATGTACATGATATGATATTAATGCTTTTCCATTTTTACTTTTCAGTTAATTCATAATAATTAACTTACACTTTTATCTGAAAAACTAAGTAACTGGTTCTCAACCTATTATTTTATATTGCCTGGTTTTCATTATTAAATATGTTTATTGACCATCTTTTTTTAATGTTACACACCATGCAATATGCAGTTAATATTTGTTAAAGGGAATCTTTTAAGATTTTCTTAGTGCATTAAGTTTCATTTAACTGTTGATCAACTTTGTGTGATGATGGTCTTTATTTTATAGAACCAGGTGCTAGTTTTGTTCATATGAATTTGAATATTGGTGCTTTCTACAGTGTGTAACTCAATGTTTCAACAAATGAAAGCTTCATTTCAAAGATTGTAATTTAGAACCATTTGACATTTGCTTATCAATTCTCATTCTGGTATCCCATTCTGAGTCCTGATTTCTTTTGTACTCATTTACTGTACATATAACTTGTGTTCTACAGATCATGTCTTCTATCTTAAATTCTTTATTTAGAATTTTATACAGATATGTACCGGGTAATGTTAAAGTTTATAAGCTGGACCTTAGAAAGTTTACTGATAACCAGGCAGTATTAAGAATAACGCAGGAATCTGGATATATAAACAAGTCTGTACATTTGTATTGTATATATGGGTTTAGGGCATTAATAGTTCAGACAATCAACAAATGAAACACAGCTATGCGGGATAAAACAGGAAAACAAAAACAAAATTTAAGGAAAGAATTGAATAGCAACCCAAGTTATACTGAACGATGCTGTTTTTTTTTTGTTTTTTGTTTTTTTTTAAAGCGTGAACTGCTCCAACCCAGGTTATAGCCGTATAACTTGGGTTGCTATTTAATTCATTCCTTATAATTTCATTTTCCATCATCAAGAATAGAAAACACACAATTTCTCTCTTAAAAACGTCTTTAAAATGTTCATATTATAAAAGTAATAGGGGATTATTAGTTCCTGACATAAGTAATTATGACTTAGGAAACCCAGGTTATACAATAAGATTAATTTTTTATCCAATCAAATGACGCATACAACCAAAATTAAATTATTCTGTGGTTAAAAAAAATATTGTTTTTCTGGATTGATTTTAATTTTCTGTGATATTAGTAGAATACTTTCTTGTTTTGTTTATCTTTTACAATAAACGACACATTTTCAAGAGACAACCAGACGCTGTGCATTCCATGACTTAATCAGAAACACTTTAGGTTAAATCAGTAACAGTTGAGGTTTAATCATTAATAGTTTATGTTTAATCATTAAGAGTTATGTTTTTGTTTTTATATACCTTACAGCATTGTTTTAGATGCTAAAAACAATTGGGTAGTATATTAATTTGTTTCGCAGAATAAAACAATTCTGTTTGTCTAAATGTGAATAATTTTATGCTGTT